CATAGCAAAGTCCCTAGTTGACTTCATGGAGTCTTCTGCTCTTCTCCTCCCTTCTCAGATTATGGGAAGCGGCACTTGGGGTATGTGTTTTGGTTTTTGTTGGCAGGGGGAGGTATGCGGGGGAGACGGAAGTTGTAAACTCTTTCCCCGTGGCTGTGGTGGAAAAGTTTTGGCCTGATGCTGGCTTAGGCTGTTGTCTGCTGGTGGCGTGTCTCTGTCCCAACACAAACTTTTTCTGGATGGGGATTGCGGACTTGGGGGAAGAGGTGTCTTATTTTCATATCTACCAACAGCGATTTCAGCTCTGCTAGAATTGCAGCTCTCAAGGGAGCTGTGCCCATGCCTGCATAGGACTAGTCTCTCTTTAAGGTCTTGGGAAAATGTAACAAAAGTTAAAGGGTCGTTCCCACCCTCTTTATCTAGCTTCTGACACTGTTCTGTTTGTCTCCTCAGGGTCGGTCATGTCGTGCTTCCCCCAAATGCGGCGCACCGAGACGCCAGATTCCCCCACCAGCCCCGTTCCTGCCGCTCCGGATGAAATCCCCATTCCTATTAGCCCCATCATAGTCACCTCCCCCACTGACAGCAGGAAGCTCAGCTCCCCGACATCCAGTCTTGCCTCCCCCAAACCTACCTCCCCCATCGAGTGCTCCATCTGCTTCAACACCTATGACAACAGCTTCAAGACACCCAAGCTGCTCCAGTGCTCGCATGTCTTCTGTCTGGAATGCGTGGCCCGCTTGACCTCGGCACTGCCCCAGCCCCGCGTTGAGGACCAGCTGCCCTGCCCCCTCTGCAGACAGCTCACAGAGATCCCCCTTGAGGGCCCTCCGGCTCTCCAGACCAGCCAGGAGCTCCTGTCCACCCTGCCTGCCGAATACCAACGGGAGAAGGTGGTGTGGATGGAAGGCAGCAAGCTATGCTGCAGGCAGTCATCCCAGGACCCGGAAGATCCCGACGCATGCATCTGCCTCGATGTGGCCATGAGCAAGCCCAATCCCCCTGTGACGCCGACAGAGGGCATGGCTGGGAGGCTGTCCCGCTGTGCCATGTGCGACGACTGGAAACGCATCGTCCTCCTCTCGGCCCTGGTCATCATTCTGCTGTGCATCATTCTGTGGCCGGTGCAGTGTGCCCTGAAAACTGGGAACCTCCGCTGCTTCACAAGGACGGTTACATTCACCAGGCCAAACCCTGTTCCGTTTACATATACAACCCCGCCAGCGCCCGGGACCAGCCCACCCTCGCGCTAGCAAGAGCTGGCATTTAAAAGGCTGCCCATGCCGAGGAGCTCTGTCAAAGCGCCTCCACCCCATTGAGCTAGATCAAGCTGCTGCCTACTGGACTTCGCCAACTTACCTCACTGCCAAGCTGTAGCAGCCCCTGTTCTCGGCCTACACACTGCTCCGCCTATGCACTTTGAACGTCACCTGAACATCCACTGTTAATCCAGCCCCTTGCTTTCACACAACTCTGCCAACGCCAAGGGGAGGGGGGCTGTGCATAGCCGTATATTGAGCCACTGCTTCACCTGAATCTCTAGCCATCCTAAACGCTACATAGATAACGGAGCCTTGAAGACTTGCACGAAGGGCATAGTTCTAGGACTGCTGCTTCCCAGGAAAGGTGCATGTGCCTCAAAGTGAGGGGCTGTTGCCATAAAGACACAGCTGTGAATGGGAAGGGTTGGATGGAAAGGAAGGGCTAAGGGAAGGGTTATTTTCTTGGGAACCGACAACACTGTGAAAAAGAGAGTCTAGATGTGATTATTTCTAGGAGAGAAATCCATCAGCCCTTGGAAAGAAGCCTGCGAAAGCTGTGTCTATAAAGTGACCATATTTAATTTTATACAATGTGCTTTATTAAACATTTCAACTGTATAGTTTGTTAGTATTAAACTATTGCTGGAGGTGGTGGTTACCTGCCTCTGCTTGGTATTTGGGTCTAGTACTAGCTTTTTACTCTGGTCAGCAGAACAAGACTCAGCTCAGAGAAGACCATGCTGAAGGTGCGAAAAGAAAATTGTAAATTTTCACCTCTCCCAGACAGGCACTTGTGCTGTAAAGTTCGGTCATTTTTTTGTGGAATTGCCCGCAAATGAGGTTCTTAGAAAAATACAAATTTCTGCATGTTTTTGTTGCAAAGCCATCCCTGCTTAATATTTAGCTTGGCCACTTTTTTTTTTTTAAATTCAAAAACAAACAGGGGGCAGGAGGGAGTAGTTTATTTCTAACATGCAAAAAATACAAAAAAAACCCCAGCCCTCCCAGGGATTACCATTTAACAGAGAATTTTGCACAGCTCAACTTAAAATGTAGTAGCTGACATACAAGAGAAAAGCTAGATCATTCTCCTAGACATCACAAAAATGTCAGTCTAGCTCCATAACTAATACTGACACCCTTTAAAACCACTAGGGTAAGACATGGGGCAGTTGCTCCAACTATGTATTTAACGGGATGACTTCTGCATTGCTCGAACACGAGGAACTCAGTGAATAATACGCCATTGTTAGAGTAAAGAGACCTGATAATGCAGTTTAAGAGAATAATTTAACATAGCCAGCATTAGATGCAAGTGCTGTAATAGTATTTAGATGCTTTGTACATTTTACATAGGTGGCACTGGCTGCCGACGTTAACTCTATGACTTTGCTCCTTCTTCTAGGTGCGATTTAGGGGTGTTAAGCTTAAAATCCAGATCAGATGCTAATTGCATTTCCCCAAATTCTGCATCAATCCAGCACTCAGTGGCCAGCTGGATACAATAAGCCAAGCTAGACCCACAGTAGTGCTCTAAAGTAATAGATGTTTACACTAATCATCAGCTTGCAACTACACTCCCCCACCCTCAGCACCCTGCTGCAGTCTCTCTCTGGTCATCTTATTGCAGCCACCTGAAAGGAGGGGGAAGGTTCATTTTGTGGGCTGGTCGTCCTTTGTTGTTTCCAGCTGGAGAGAGGAAAAGGCAGACCCCCCGCTCATCTCTCCTCTTGCCATCAAAGCTGTAAAGAGGGATTGGAATAGGATAGCATGCTGCAGCCAGCGGTGGCACGGGAGCTTTGCCAGGCAGGATGTCAGCAGGGTCCTGGCTGCTGCAACAGATTCAATAGGTTGCCAATTTATAGCAAGCCCTAGAAGGCTGGTATTGTCCAGCCCAGTTCCCCGGCCGCTGGACCCAGAGCTTTTAACACAGTGTTTGTCAGAACCATTGGGGTTGCCAGGGACTCTCTTGGGTGATCTTGACCATCCCCACAGCAGACTACCACTGAAGTCTCACCAGTAGTGGCCAGATGACGAGTGCCTGCATTGCCTCAAAGCAGAGGAGATGGAATGTGACGGGGGTGAGTCGTAGCTAGCTCCTTTGTCACTGTACACACATCTGACTGCCATATGCTCATTTGACTTCCCTCTACAAACAACGGCCCAGGCTGAACCTGTCCACCTGCCACCATCACATCCGTTCCCACTGATTTACCGTATCGACACTCGACACCCATCCATCCCCCTTGCAGCGTTTTAATACCTCTCACTTCCCAGCCTGCTGCCACACTGAAAGCTGGAGGGTCGGGATGGCTTTGGGAGAACTGGTAATGGGCTACAGAGGCTCGTGCTGAAGCTGCTGGTTCAGAGCTAGCCCAAAACTGTTTGGGTCACTTGAGCGGGACTCTGGTTGGGGGTCTAAGAGAAGCAGGTTTTTTGGCTAGGAGAGGCCTGGCACCCGCTGGCATCCTACCCCCTTTCAAATGCCCATCGGTCACTTTCACAAGCATTTCAAAACTTAAAAAGGAAAAAAACCAACCCTTTAGAATATTCAACATTTATTAAAAGTGCAATAAAAATAAACTGTTTTCTTGTCCCTGTGACAAACGACTGAAGATGCCAGCCGGTAATTACAGCCCCGTTCCATCGGTGTACTCTTTGTTCAACCCCTGCAGTGCCTGGGGAGAACAGCAACTCCAGCACTGAGAGCTAATGCCATTGCCCCGCACGTCCATTATCCCACACAGACAAGGAAGAACGTTTCTTTTCCCCCCCATTAACAGCTGCCCAAGACAAGCTCTCCTGGTTTCGGCCCTGGCATTCAGACCCTGCATAGCAAGGAGTCCGGCAGAAAGGAGATTCTTTGGCAGAGCGGTTGCAATAGCAGGAAGTGCTGCCAGTGAAAACTGAGGTGCGCGAACAAAGCTGGAATGTTAACATTCCAAAGCGCTCTCTTCTTCTTCGCCGTGCTGTACAAATATTAATCATTGCCCACAGCTCCCCTATTTCGTATACATAGCATTAGGCTCAGCATACAAACGTGGGGGAACTAACACAGGGCATCCAGCAAGACAGCGACAGAGTCAGGAACCCAGCAGAACTCTATGCCCTAATGTGCTGATGGTACATGTGATGTTGCCCTCTGGTTGCTGAGCGCACAGATAAGTTGCCTCCCTACTGCTTTTACCATCAGCTACGGGAGATCTCTTAGCTCCCGCAGCAGAGGCCTGTGTTGGTGGAGAGGAGGGTTCGAACGCAGGCTCCCCACTCGTGTGCGTGTCAGAATCTAGTAAGCGTGCAGCACGGGGATTTTGCTACCAGAGAGACAAGTCCACTGCACCACACTGCTTCTCTGCATGCTGCAATAGCAGGGGTTGCTCCAGGGTCAGGAGCTAGGCGCTTTGGCAGATTGCATAGGCGCCCAAGCCTAGCACAGCAGAAAGGAGGTGCATTTTCTAAAGGAATGAGGGCGGAGGGCATTTACACAGCGGTTATTTGCACCGTACCTAGGTCCAGTCCACATGCCCAGTCCATCACTTCCATGGCAGTAGAGTTAACCCAAGATTCAGTTTAAACACCTCTAGCTGAGAAACAACCAACCTCATGAAGTCGTGAAGTGCAGCAACACCCCGGTGACTGTCCTGAGCAGGCAAAGCTCCTACACATGTCGTCATTTTATTTTAACTTTTTACAAAATCAATTTCTTTAAAAATTAAATTAATTCTTTTAAACAAAAAATTTTTTTAAAACTGAGCTTTTACGCCCTATGACCATCCAGAGGCACTTGCACATAAATATCGGCCTATGTGAAAAAGGGACCGGAAAAGGTCGCTCCCGTGAATAAGTTAGATTGAGGCGTGTTCCTGAGGCGCGCACTCTGCCCTGCTCAGATGCTTTCGGCATTTTGGTTCCTCGCTGGATCCAAGGTGCTTGAAGGGGCGTGGGGGGGCACGGGGGTAGAGGGAGGCAGCGGTGACAGAACTTGGAAAGTGTGGACGTGAACACTGTAAATCCTAAAACCCAAAACAAGAGAGGAAAGAAGGTGTCAGCTATTATGTATAACAGAGTGACACACACACGAGAAAGAAGACGCTCCCAGTACGCACGTGTAGGTCTCTTTCACTCCGGGATCCAATCGGAGGTGTGACTGAGGCTCAAGCAGACATACCTGTGCTAGCAGAACTAAAACCAGCAGTGTAGATGCAGTGGCAGGGCTTTCAGCAACACAGGTAGGTACCCAGGGTTCTGGATGCCTACACTGAAGTCCATGCTACCGTATCTACATGGTTATTTGTAGCCATGCCAGCCTAGGTATGTTTACTCAAGCTGCAATCCCACCAGACTGCAGTGTAGACATACCCTCAGAGTCTACACTAGGAAAAAGCAACAGAGAGTGCTGTGGCACCCTTAAGACTAACAGATGTATTGGAGCATAAGCTTTCGTGGGTGAATACCTACTTCGTCTGACCAAGTGGGTATTCACCCACTAAAGCTTATGCTCCAATACATCTGTTAGTCTTAAAGGTGCCACAGGACTCTGTTGCTTTTTACAGATCCAGACTAACACGGCTACCCCTCTGATACCGTACACTAGGAGAACAGCCTCAGCTCGCACTGTGGGTCTCATTCTAAGGCAGTTTTAAAAAAATTAAATAATAATACTTTCAAGTCCTGCCCCATTTCTCCCCACCCCATCACTAGCTGGGCACTGCCCAGGAGCTGCACAAACATTTTTAAGGTCTGTTAAACTGACCCAGGACATAGCTGGTTTTCCCTGGGTAGATGGGGCCCATGCACTTCATGTATGATGCCAAACAGGGACCAGAGCCAACAGACTCCTGGTGGGGTTTAGTGCCAACCTCTGAGAATGAACGTACCTGTGCAGCCTCCATCCAGCTCCCCTTCTGGCCCCTTTATCTCCCTGCATTATTCATCCCTGAAACTTTGGGGTTTTTGATGTTCAGGTTCTCGTAGACGGAAGCTGAGTCATCATCGACCCTGGAAAGATGCACAAAGCCTGCTGTGAGTAACCCTCTTATTCTGGATTCCTTCCCCAGAGCAGGTTGCCTGGGGGCCCTTGAACAGAATTCCAAGCCTTCCCCTCCCCCCCAGCCTTGTAAACGGCAAGACCGGGAATTCCCCCGCTGCCTATTCACACCCACACACTTCATGCCTGCTGCCCCTCAGACATTTAATATACACCCAGACTGGGCCCTGAACATTCATCCAAGATGCGAGCCTTTATATATGCATGCCACACTGGGACGTGATCTGAGTGAGAATATCACCGATACTTCCTATATGTCTAAAGATAGGGCTGAGCCAAAACCACGGACTTTCTGGAGGGGGGAGGTGGATAGGAACCTGGATCCAGATCTGATTTTTGCAAACCAACCTTCTTGTTCAGAATGGGTCCAACCAAAATCCCAGATCCAAGTAACCCCGAACTTCGCTTGAAACCCAGCCGAGACTTTGTGAAACAATAAGTGATATGCAATATTCAGCAAGGAGGGAACAGTTTTCTTTGGCTTTGTCCCACCTGTGATCCCTCCCTACCTTCACCTGGAGATTCATTTAGAGTTACAGATTCAAACGCAGCCAAGAACTCCAAGTGAAACCTCCACGATTTTGAACGTTTAGACAGGTGCCATCAGCCCAGCAGGTCCATGTTGGATGAGTGAGTGGAGTTACTCAAACCCTGCCCCTCCCACTCAGAAATTCCAAGGCTAGAAGGGACCACTGTGACCCTCTCGTCTGACCTTCTGCATAGCACAGGTCAGAACTGCCCCAAAGTCATTCCTTTTGAACTAGAGAATCTCTTTAAAACGGTGGTTTTCAACCTGCAGTCCACAGACCCCTGGGGGTCCACAGATCATGTCTAAGATTTCCAAAGGGGTCCGCACCTGTGTTGGAAATTTTTTGTTAGGAGTCCGCAAATGAAAGCAAGGTTGAAAAACCACTGCTTTAAAACAAAAGTTACCAGTGGTGGCGAATCCATTGCTTATATGGGACATTCTCTCTGCTCATCACTCTCCTATCTAAAACAAGAGACATCAGTGTAGAACGTCTACTGTCCATGAAGGGCCCTCAGCAGAACTGGATGACGTTTATCGACCTAAATGTTTTTTTCTGGTGAAAAATGCAGATTCGGCGACCGGGAAGCGTTTGGTAAATTCCCATTGGTTTTGCCAAATTGCTTTGGTGGAAAAAATGCTAAACAAATAAATAAAAATCTAAATGTTTCATTTGGACATTTTCCAAACCAACGGCCTCGGTTTTTCGATTGGAACACCTGAGATTTTATTTTTAAAATTCAACGTTAAAAACACGCTTGAAATCCAGTGTTTTGTGAGCCCCCAAATGAATTTTTATTTTATTGTTCAGAGTTGCCAGTGAACTGAAAACTACATTATTCGCTCAGCCCTCTGCTTGTCCGGGCTCACGCTCACCTCTCCCCCAACTCATCCTCCCTACATGCCCGCTCTCTCTTTCTTGTGCTCTGTACTAGATTATTGCTACTCTTCTCTTCTCCCCTCCTTCCTCTCCCACGGCTCACGGGACATTTCCAAGAAAAAGGGGCTTAAGTAATTGCCGACTGAACACCCCTATGGTAGCTGCAAAAATGGGACAGACCAGCAGGCTGGGGCGTTGCGATGTTTGATAAATATTTGCATGGCCAGTTATAGCCATTCTCCTCCCACCAGCGCGCTAGAAGTGGCCCTAGGTGGAAGGAAGCAGCTGTGTGAAAGATGGCGGCCACTGGGGGCTATGGTCATTCAGCCCCATCTGCTCCCTGTCACGTCAATCTCCCTCCTTCCACGCAAACTTACACAGAGACACGTGGTGGGAGCGGCTGCCCTTTGGCTCTGGCTTTATCCATAGGAGGGTGTCGGATATTCAGGTAGTCTCGCTCTTTCCTCTTATTCCTCTGAAAGAGAGAGAGGAGATAAAACTTCCACCAGATGCAAGAATGGAGGCACTGGCTGCAGAGCAGATCTTCTGCCCTACAGGCAGGTAGCGAGGAGGGCGAGTTAGAGGAATGGAAGACGTTTTCCCACAGACACTTCCACAGCACTGGGGAAGAGCCCAGCTTCCCAAGTCTGAGATGCTGAAGAGAAGAGTGGAGGTGCGCAGAGCTGGAAAGAGATGATCCTGAGCCCCAGTCCCCTAGCCTCTCTTCGTAAGAGCATCACCTAGCATTTCCTCTTGCTACAGAGGCAGGGGATATATGTTTGGAAGCCACAGGAGCTACTCCTGGTGCACAGCAGAGCGCAGCCCCAACAGGGAGGGCACGTGGTTCCATGGATGAGCAAACACTTGTGGCTCATGAAATCGCCATGTTTTTACAGTAAGATTCCTCCCAGTTTCGCTATTAACCGGAGATGGGCCCAAATCCATCCTCCCTGGGTTCACACCTGGGAGCTGGATTTGGATCCAAGTTCATAGCTGGGAACTATGTCAATCCACACACAAGTTCAGCAGCTTGGAGAAGGCTGGGCTCGGATCTAGATTTCTAGCGCTTGCGTTCAGTGTGTCCAGGTCCAGGATTTGGATTCATCCCATGACAGGGAGAAGCGGCTCCATTCAGATCTGCTGTTCTGACCGGGGAGGGTTGGTTCAGACCAGATTCTCCCAGTGAGCCAATTCCCACCCATATGCCTAACATCACTGGGCAGGAATCGGACCCACCTGCTCTTCTTCTAGCCTCTTCTGCTCGGTCTCAATGTACTGCTGAACAGCCATGTAAACGAACTTGTACTGCGCCTCCGTCTGCACCATGCCAGAGCGCTGCCTGCGCACCATCTGGATGGTTTTGGGGATGTCTATGTCACAGTCCAAACCTGCTCGAGGGGGAGAAGCAAAGGATCAGGAATTGAGTGAGATTTCAGCAAGGTGGGGGGAGGCAGTCCCTCCCCCTTCTACCTCCCCCCTCCCCCCGTTCACTGAACACAGACCCCACCTCCTTTGAGCAGCTTGGAAGCCATTAAATTAACCCTTCTGCAAGAGGCCGGTAGAGTTTAACAGGGAAGGACGACCTATCTGCAGGTGTCTGGAACCCTCCTGTAGAACATGATGGAGAAATCTATCCTGGCCGCATTGCCCTGGAGGATGACTCACAGAGCTTCTGGAAAGGAGATCCTTCTCCACTACCTCTTAGAGGCTGGTGGAATGATTTCTGGTGAGGCTGGTGGATGTGAGCCACACCTTTCCATAAGGAAAGAGGGCTTTAAGGAGGCACTCTGGGTGAACCGGCCTCTCTGAAGTCAATGGCAGAACTTCCCAAGTGAGGCCAAGAGCTCACCCTCCGTTTCAACCAGAGCTTGCTGGGGGCATCTGGGCACGCTTGCTTGTTTCGGGAGGCAGTGGATTTCTTCCCCATAAGGCAGAGCACTATTCCCCTTTTGTCCACCAGCCCAGAAGTGGAAACTTTACATTCCAGTGGGGTAAGAGGCCTTTCCCCAGCCTTCTAGATACTTTCAGGTCAAAGCCCATACCAAGAGACGTACGGCCGAGCTGAGCCCATTGGCCAGAGATCTTCAAACTCATTGCACTTGTAGGGGGATTGGGTTAGACTATACTGCCATTCTGCAACCGAAGGGAACACCCTGGGGACAAGGGGGAAGCTAATGCAATGGGACAGATCAGTTGCCATACCTTGCCTGTGAATAATATCCACCAGGATATCAATCACTATGATAGTGCCCGTGCGTCCTATTCCAGCGCTGGGGAGAGAAGACAAGGCGGGATCAGTGTGGGAAAAGCCAAAATGCCTCCCCAGACCCTATATAACTAGCCAGTTCAGTGCACGCCCTCCAGCGGCGCATCAAGACCATCGGAGCTGGTGCCTGGAATATTTGCTATAAAGACTTGCCGAAGCAGAGTCCTCAGAGAAGCGTAGTCCAGTGGTCTGGGCAGGGAACTGGGAACCCAAACCTCCCCAGTTCTAATCCTGGCTCTGCCACAAACTGCCTCGGTTATCCCATCTGTAACAGCCCTAGGGAAGTGCTCAGTATGGGCACTACACTAGGGGACAAGGGAGGTTCATTTCAAGGCTTTGATGTAGCAGATTTCACCTCTGTTCGTTATTGGCTCACGTGAGCAACAGCCCCCACTGGCCACCGACACAACCCCGCTGGCTGCCAGGTCGCTGGTGCGTACCTGCAGTGCACGACGATCGGCCCAGAGTCTGGAATGCTTCGCTGTGCTCGGTTGACTTGGTCCAGAAAGCTGAGGACCCCTCCTGGCTCGTTGGGGACCCCGTGGTCTGGCCAGCTGAAATACTGATAGTGCTTTACCTGTCTGGGGTACTCCTCCTGTCGGACAGATAGCCCGGTCGGTTGGTTAGAACTCACCCATGTGCCACAGACAGTACCGTGCATGCACCCCCCTCCCCAAAAAGAAGATGGTCCCTGCCCCAAGGAGTTTACAATGAGAGAAAACTGGTCGATACAACCTAGAGATGGGTCAAAGAGACTATTCTGCTAGGATAGAGCCCATCTGTGTAGCCACCCAAGCGAATAGGAGCGTGCTGACAAATGCAAGGGATAGATGCTTTTACTGGGGAGGTCAGGGATGTTCTGCCCCATGCTGATTGCACCGATCCTTGTTTGGGAAACTCTCTCACAAAGCCAGCAGAACCCCAGTGCAAAGCCAAAGGCACAGTCGCACAAGAAGCATTCCCTGCAACGCAGACCTCCAGAAGCACTCCGACAACCAGAACCCGACGGGGCTAAAGGGTAAATGAACGCAAGAGCTGTAACCCCGGGGGCGATACCAGGAGGAACCGCATCGATAAGAAATATTTCTACAACAGCGCAAAGCTATGAAGCTACAGGCCGGCTGCCTCTCCCCCGCCACGGCTCAGCGAGAGTCCCAACGGCCAGCAAAAGGAGTGGGAGAAAGGAGAGGCCTCTCACCCGGTCTGTCCGCGTGATTTCCAGCTCCCGGAGGTAGTAGCCCTGCGCCTCGCGCTCGCTCACGATCCGCACGCAGATGTAGCCGTACTCCTTGGTGCAGTTCTTATCAGGCCAGTAGCGGAAACATTTATTCTGAAGGGACAGGGGAAAATGCCGTGAAGGGCTCTGCTCATCATTCAGGACTGGGGAGCTGGACAGGAACCCCTTTAGAGCTCAGCCAACAGCCTGCTGTACTGGACCGCGAGAGCTTATTGAACTCCATGCCGGTGGCTGGGTCAGCAGCAGCAGGGACGTCCGATTCTAAAAGCGTGAGCTGCTGCTGTTTGAACTCGAGGACCCAGTTCTCTTAGTCAAGGCCGCAGAATATTCCTCAACTTTGGTGTGTGACCCAGCCACTGCTAGCAGAGCGCCACCCCGAGCAGGGGTGGGTTACACCAGCACTTCCACAGTGCACGACTAACATTACGGGGAACCCTCACCACAGATAAATAGCACCTTCCTCCCCCAGAAATCCCACTGACTGCAGTGGGGTTCCCCGTGCAGCAACACTGAGCAGTGCCAAGTGCTGTCCCCACTTTACAAGTGTAAAGGCAGAGATCCAAGGCACCATTGGGATAAGTGACTTGCCCACGGGCACACCATGAGGCAGTGGCTGAGCCAGGAAGAGACCCCAGGAGCACTGACCCCCACTCCCCAACCCCTCCTGCAAGAAACCGACTGATGGTTCCAGCAAGGAGGCGGCGGCTTGCAGGAGGTTAAACAATCCAGAATTTGATTGGGGTGGAGATCTCCACCCCCTACCCACGTTGCCCCCGGGGACCCTCGATGGGAAGGCTTTTTTGGCCTGCAGGACAAATGCCTAAAGGCAGCTAATCTCACAGAAGGTCACTTTCCCCCTAGATATCACACCTATTCTGTGTGCGCACAGCTCTGCCAATCCATTTGAGTCCTGCCCTGCAGCACCCCCTGCTGTCCCATGTGCAGTTACATGGGTCACTCCATGACTCCGGAGCCATCCCAATGCATGGTGCTGCTTGCCAACATCCCATCTAAAACCCCACCAATCCCCTATTTTTGTACCGTATTAAAGGCCTTGCCTATACTAGAAAGGGTTTGCTGGTCTAGCTGTTGACTAATATATGCTGGGCTAGCATATATACATCAATTACATTACCAATAGGTATTATCCACACAGTACATAGAGCAGTACACATTAAGCACACAATAGCAGTTATATAGCCTAAACTGACCCATACTTTTTATACAACCCTGTTCACTTATGCTAAATATCCCATAACACCTTGCATTTGCTGAAGCAAGCATTTGGCATAAGCAGATAGGAAACTTGTCAAAAATCAAGACACGTTCGTTCGAGGTCTTAGTACAATCTAGGGAAGTACTTCCATGGACCACTTTCCAAAATGCCAGGATCCAAAACAAAGGAAGGAAGGAACAGAACAACTTAGGGAAGTGGGACAAATTGAGGGGTTGGATTTTAGTGACGCGTGACTTGTAAAATCATCGGATAAATAATACCAGCTGAAAGGTGTAACTTTGGGATCACTCCTTCTGCATAAGGTGAACGTAACAATGATGCACGAGACAGCTTCTTCACTGCATAGAACCTTTTGCCTGTACTAGATTATTATTGGCTTACAGCAATAAACATGCTCGTCTCTTGAATATATTTCATTACACACCAAAGTGTGGTCAAGCAATTGACTAAACAATTTATCAACCAGTTATACTGGGAGAGTCTTCTAGTTCAGACACAGCTTACACCGGCACAAGAGTGCTTTCGCTGTCATAGTTTCTACCACTTTCCTTAATAAAATTAGCTATTTTGGGAAAAGCACTTGGCCAGTATGACTGGATCTGCACTAGGGCTTTTACTGTATACATTTTAAAACAAAACAAGACAAAAAACCCACCACCCTAAGTGGCATTGATATACCAGCAAAAGTTTCTAGTGTAGCCTTGGTAACCTCTCCTTATCGGTGGAAGCAGTTCTGGTTAGTGGCTCTATTGGTATCATAACACGTTCTCCAGACCCCCACCCCCAAACTCTGTATGAAAATATATGCAGACAGAGCATATACAAGTTGTACAATTCTAACTCACCACAGGGACGTGCTGGCCGCCACTTCCCGTAGCTCCCATTAGCTGGGAACAGAGAACCGCGGCCACTGGGCACTGCGGGGGGGCCGTGCCTGCGGACGGTCAACATCAGCAAAATGTCTCGTGGCCAGCAATCAGATTACCCTGATGGGCCACAGTTTGCCCACCACTGCCTTAGCTGCACGAGGCCTGTTTTTGACTATTGCCATCAGTTGGTCATCATGGAGGCACCAGGCTGAGGCACCACAAGTCAGCAGTTTTCCCATCTAGAATTGCCTGGCCAACAGGAGGGATGAAATGCACCTGGCGGGCAAGAGGTTCCACAGCCAATGCACTGCATGTTGGTCTGGCGACAACCTGCAAACCAAAGTACCCACCCTGCCTCTCTCCACTTCCTTCGTCGTCATGACTATGACATGGGTGTTTTCTTGGTACACCATGGCCCAGAAGTCGTTCACCGTCGTCTGCAGGCAGCCTTGGGTGGCGATGTAGACTTTGCAGTGCTCCGAGCTCCTTCCCTCTTCGGGTATGCTCTGGGTGTGGAAAGGAAACAGGAGTGACGGACCAAGGACCGCCCCCGTGCAGCCCTGAGCTGGGAAGATGGAGGAGTCCTATAGGACATGGCTGCCTGGCACTGCATGAGCTCCCCAGTGGAACATCTGCCATCTGATGCTAACAGGCTTTCCTCTAGGGATCAAGCTACATCAGCCCCCCGGACACAGAAATCGTTCTGCTTGCAGTTTCTCGATATCCCATCACCAGTGTTAATGAGACACCCTCTGCAGGGCCTTATTGCCATTTGCTCAGTGCTAGATGCAGGTCGCAAGACAGCTGCCGAAGTTCTGGTTGAATCGGACTGGGAAATAAGCGACCCCATCACATGGCGAAGACTAGGGGCTTAAACACCTGAGCTGTTCTCGGCTGGAAATCTGGCTCCAAATTGGTTTCAGCTCCCAGGCGAAAATGAGTTTGACCCAGCTGACAACCTTGAGCAACAGAGCCACGTTGGCAGGGAAGGCCGGGGTTAGAAGAGCGGTGCTGGGCATCGAGACGGAGACGTCTCCGGAGTCGCTGTGCAGGGGCAGCCAGGACACGGCGCCCGCCAGCAATAGCAAAGCCTCAGGTCTGGAAGCACACACACACACACACACACACACACACACACACACACACACACAC